GCTGTTGTCTCTCTTCTTGTTTCTTTTCTTTTTCCTCCAACCACTGCTGTAATCTCTCTTCTTGTTTATTTTCTCGTTCTTCTTGTTTCTTTTCTTTTTCCTCCAACAACTGCTGTAATCTCTTTTCCTGTTTCTTTTATCGTTCTCCTTGTTTCTTTTCTTTTTCCTCCAACAACTGCTGTAATTCCTCTTCTTGTTTCTTTTCTTTTTCCTCCAACAACTGCTGTAATCTCTCTTTCTGTTTCTTTTATCGTTCTTCTTGTTTCTTTTCTTTTTCCTCCAACAACTGCTGTAATCTCTCTTCCTGTTTCTTTTCTTTCCTCCAACAACTGCTGTAATCTCTCTTCCTGTTTCATGTGATGTCCCTATATGCTGTTAGGCGTTGCTTTCCGCTACTTTATTTATCCTCATGTGATATACCTATGTGTTGTTAGCCGTTGCTTTCCGTGTGATATCCCTATGTGTGGTTAGCACGTTGCTTTTCTCTACTTTACTTATCCTCATGTGATATCCCTATGTGCTGTTAGGCGTTGCTTTCCCCTACTTTACTTATCCTCGTGTAATATCCATATGTGTGGTTAGCACGTTGCTTTTCTCGGCTTTACTTACTTCTAGTAATTGATCTAATGTTATACGAACTTTAAACACCAACACATTGTTTCCTCCGCCACCGAAGGTGGATGAAGGTTATGTTTCCACCCCTGTGTGCGGATGTGTGTTTGTCAGCAAGATTTCTTGAAAACGGCTGAATGGATTTAGACGAAAGCTGGTTTTCATTTGGACTATGACTCAACTTAGAAGTGATTAGTTTTTGGAGGGTCAAGGTCGGAGCAAGGTCAAGAAAAAACAAAAATTCCTATCTGTTAACATGGTTACCGATTTTTCACACTATTTTTGCTCTATAACTCAGTCAAAAATTATCGAATTTTGATGAAACTTGGTGAACGTATGTAGAATATTATTCCTCTTTGTCTTGCCAAAAATGGTCCGTGTCTGTTGATAAGGACGGACATACGGACACATTTTCGTATTTTTTCAGAACCCAATTTGATCCTCGCTATGTGGCTGAGGGATGCGCTCTACTGAGTGTCCTCTAGTTATTAGTCTTAATGTTATTGTTGAAAGTATAATTGGAAGTAATACATTTTGATATCTAGTATGTATATTTTTTTACTAATAGGGTTTCTTCCTGCTATTACGAATCATGTTTATTGTTACATGTCTAAGAACCTTTAAACGTGAAAATACTGTTTTTCCCTTTGTTTATGTGCCAATTTCTCTCATAAATAGATTTAGTAATGTGCCAGGAATTACATCATTGATGCTATATTTCTCTTAATACTTTATATTTTCAGCTAACACAACTAAGGAAGACAAAGATGTTTTCGATCACTTCATCATTCCGAAACAGCCAATGTTTAGTCCAGCCTTCATCCTTATCATCACAGCTATCAGTTTAATGACGGTTGTTCTTGTGATAGGGTTGGTCTTGGCGTTCCGCAGGATCCGGAGAGGATACAATACCACTCCAACATTCGATGCAGATATCGATCTGGACAAGCTTCCAAACAACATTTCATATCACAAGACTGGAGCCGCATTGAACCCAAAACTAGAATCTCTGGAGTTTCAGCGAAACGACATTATTTACATTCGGGATATTGGACAAGGGGCTTTTGGACGGGTGTTCCAGGCTAAGGCTCCAGGGTTAATCAAGGGAGGTGAGATAACTACTGTGGCAGTGAAAATGCTGAAGGAAGAAGCGAGCCAAGACCTCCAAGGCGACTTTGAGCGTGAGGCTTGTCTTCTAGTCGACTTTGACCACCCCAACATAGTGAAACTTTTAGGAGTATGTGCACTGGGTAAGCCCATGTGTCTGTTGTTTGAGTACATGGGAAGAGGAGCCTTAAATGATTTCCTTCGATCATGTCGTAACTACATAGACCGAACGTCTAAAATTTGTGATATACACCTGAGCCACTGGGACCTGGTCAATATGGCCAGACAAATTGCCGCAGGTATGGGCTACTTGTCGGAACAAAAATTTGTTCATCGCGACCTAGCAACCAGAAACTGTCTGGTCAGTGAAGACATGGTTGTGAAAATCTCGGACTTTGGTCTTTCCCAAAAGATATACTCTGCTAACTATTATAAAGGCAGCGAGCATGACGCCATCCCAATCCGATGGATGCCCTTGGAGTCCATCCTGTACAGCAGGTTTACAGTGGAGTCGGATGTTTGGGCTTTCGGAGTGGTTCTTTGGGAGATCTTTTCCTTCGCCCTTCAACCCTATTATGGTATGACGCACGAAGAAGTGGTCACCTTTGTCCAAGAAGGCAAAGTGCTTCCATGTCCGGACAACACCCCACCCTCAGTCTACACTTTAATGAAGAACTGTTGGAATAAGAAACCGAGCAACAGACCTTCCTTCAAAACTATCTACAAGGCACTTTGTTCTGTACACGAAGAAATGGTTAAAGTTCAACCTAAAGTCTAGCTGTTGTCCTGAGCTATAAATCAGTTCTGTAAGTCAAGCATCTGGCCGAAATGTTGTCCAATGAAAACATTCTACAAATCCGTCTGACTTAATGCTCAGTCCATAAATCTTCTACTGTGTCCTTTTATGTCCATTCACTGTTCTGCAGCTTTTCTTGCCGTAAATGGAGATTTTAGCTCATGTGAAATCCTACTTAGTGCAAATCTTTCTTTTTTTATGTATAGTGATTAGGAAACATATTAAGTCCATATATACTCTTGTCTAACTCAAATCTTTTTGTATAGTGATTAGGAAACATATTAAGTCCATATATAGTCTTGTCTAACTCAAATCTCTTTGTATAGTGATTAGGAAACATATTAAGTCCATATATATTCTTGTCTAACTCAAATCTTTTTGTATAGTGATTAGGAAACATATTAAGTCCATATATATTCTTGTCTAACTCAAATCTCTTTGTATAGTGATTAGGGCTTAACATAATAAGTCTTTCTGCATAGTTCAAACCTCTTCGCATAATGTTTAGAGACTAAGAAAGCCCAACTCACATACCTTCGTAATCCTATCACGTACAGCGGTTAGGAATTAACCCTGAGAGTCTGTCTAAATCTAACAAACGTTTCGAAACACAAAATGAACACATTACGTCTCATGTTATTATATTTAATACAAACATTAGTTTCACATTTTCATTTGTAAACGCACCAACTTCTCCTTTACTAATGCTGTTGCATGGCAACCACAGAGTCTTAAAACTGTAATAAGTTGAAATATGCCATAAAACTCCATAGTAAGCGATTTATTACCAACGTTAAGGCTTACATTTTCAATATAAGCCGGTCACAACCTGTTTTATTCTGGAACTTCTCTCCTCCAGTTTTCACTATGTCATACAAAAACTAATATTACAAGGGTTTGTTTCTGATAATGTATTGTCTGAAAGCACAGCACTAAAACAAACAAAAAAAGTTATGCGTTTTATTATTTTTTGAAGAGTCCAAAGTTGTAGCTATTGCTATACAGTAGAGGAAAAGTGTCATTATAACGATGACTCGGACTATTTGTTCAGTGTATAAATATTCGTTGTACTGTTTTGTCGACATTTGTATATTTAAGTTAGAGGAATAATCCAGATGCATCATAAATGTTATGTTTCTACTTGTTTTAATAATTCCAAACCGTTTTCAAGATTTTATACCTTTGTTTCTTACTGCATTCCCAGCCTTGCTGTAACATTGTCTGTTTCACCATTACAGATAATAATAAGTACCTTTCTGGGACTTGACCATATGTTAACATTGTTTCACTAGATATAATAATACCTAACCCTTCAATGACCTTACTGTAAACATTGTTACACTAGATATAATAATACCTAAACCTTCAATGACCTTACTGTAAACATTGTAAGGCTAAATGTGATAATACCTAAACCTTCAATGACCTTACTGTAAACATTGTTACACTAGATATAATAATACCTAAACCTTCAATGACCTTACTGTAAACATTGTTACACTAAATGTGATAATACCTAAACCTTCAATGACCTTACTGTAAACTTTGTTACACTAGATATAATAATACCTAACCCTTCAATGACCTTACTGTAAACATTGTTACACTAGATATAATAATACCTAAACCTTCAATAACCTTACTGTAAACATTGTTACACTAAATGTGATAATACATATTTCCTTAAATATGATACGTTATCTATTCTATTAAAATAATTTCAGTCTAAAATATTACATGATTAATAAACAAATACGAATCATATTATTCTTAAATTGTGATTTTTATGTAAATTATTGTGTATAAATATTAAGATTAATTTTATACATTTCTGCTTCTCTCACACACGGTGAAACATATGATAGATATGTATATATTAGTTTTTAACAGTGAGCAATAAAAAACCGTCGACTCACGAATAAAAAAAAAATGTAAAAGGATGAACGAGTCACTTTAAACATTAAATACCTGCATATGTAAATGAAGGTTCTTGTTTGTACTCAAGTCGTAGAATTCTGTTAAAATTTAATGCCTGATAGACGGTAGTATTTGTAGCAGTAAGTTGATAATTAAACCGTAATGATCTTATTGGTGTACTTAACAATACTGGTTGATTACAGGGAATTGCTGTGTATGAATAAATCATATTCTAAAATTATTCACTTGTGTCTATGAGACATTCTCACCCCCATCACATCAACCTTCCATTTTTACTGATCCCCATCATCTGTTACATATCATAACCTAGATTGGAATTTCATGACTGACGTTTGTAAATGTCTGTAGAATATACATATCTTAGGTTTGTATTTCATGACTTATTTTTCTAAATGCTTGTAGAATATATGTAACCTAGTGTTACGACAGCGGAGATCACGTGACGCTGGTAACACGTGATAAGTGTCTAGAAGGTTCATGAAGAGGCGAGTGCATTCTAGACGCCCTCTATTCTTGTATATAAGCTCGGCAAATAAAGCGAGATAATTAATTGGATAGCAGACAGAGAGATAGGGAGACAGATAATTGAGTCAAGCAGTAAGTAAAGTGTGTAAATCGTTGTGAATTATAGCGTGTGTTTAAGTTAAAGTGACTGTGGAAATTAAGTGTATTACAAAGTTGTATTGAGGAAGAATAAACTAGTTTTATTTAAGAAAGGACTTGTATCGCTGAAGAATTGTTACGGAAAATTATCAAACAAACAGATACGTAACAAATTGGTGTCAGAAGTGGGATGAAAAAAAAAGATGGAAACGAGAAGCGGCAAATCAAACTAGAGCTTAGCAAATTTGATGACAGCAATACAAGAACAGCAAAAGAAACAAGAAGAGAGATTACAGCAGTTGTTGGAGGAAAAAGAAAAGAAACAAGAAGAGAAATTACAGCAGTTGTTGGAGGAAAAGGAAAAGAAACAAGAAGAACGAGAAAATATGTGTGGTTAGCACGTTGCTTTTCTCTACTTTACTTATCCTCGAGATATCACACAGGGTTATATAAAGTAGAGGAAAGCAACGTGCTAACCACACATAGGGATATCACACCGCTGCCATCGCACTGATGAATTGGTAGTATAGCACCATGGAACAGGCTCCTCTCCACCAGCATTCCGACAAAAGTTCTCGGAATTCAAGGCTTCTGGAAATACCGTTGGCGGCCGATGATGCGGATGAGGTTCCTTTTTGGAAAGAAACAACAAAGAGGTTCTAGCAATTTATTCTAGTTATTGTTTCATTACTTTTATAATTAATTCCAATACTTTCTACGAGTCATGTTAACCTTTCAATCACAGTTTATCTGCTACGTTCCTCAATAGTTACTATAACATTTTCTATCACAGTTTATCTGCTACATTTCTCAATAGTTACTATAACATTTTCTATCACTGTTTATCTGCTACGTTTCTCAATAGTTACTATAACATTTTATATCACGGTTTATCTGCTACGTTTCTCAATAGTTACTATAACATTTTATATCACGGTTTATATTGAGGAACGTAGCAGAGTTACTGTAATACTTTATAACATAGTTTATCTGGTACATTCCTCAATATTTGCTATAACACATTATACCAATGTTTATTTGCTACGTTTCTCAATATTTGCTATAACATTTTATATCATAGTTTATCAGCTACGTTCCTCAATAGTTACTATAACATTTTATATCATAGTTTATCTGCTACGTTCCTCAATAGTTACTATGATACCTTATACCATAATTTATCTGGTACTTTTCTCTATAATTATTACTGGACTTTTTATCATAGCTTATTTGCTACGTTTCTTGATAATTAATACCAGACTGGGTGTTTCATACATAATATTGTAGTCAAATTTCCAAAGTATTCTTGGTTCGGCTTACCTGAGAGTCCCATCTCTGGCAGGGAATTCCAGACTTTGTAACATTAACAGTTCCTTGGTAGAAACGACCTCGTCCTAGCACACAGTCCGCTGAAAGTTGTAGAAATTTTTTCTTATAAAAAATTTAAACCATGTTCTGAATATGTTGTTCTTCTACCAGAAAATGCACATTGATGTAAACATATCTTATTAATGTTTAATAAAATGACATCTTTCTTCAAGAAGGTGTTATCACTAGGTGGACCTGTAGACTATTTTACTTCTTATTGACTAGTACCACTAAATGATGCTGTAGAATATATAATTTTATTAATTGCTAACACTAGATGGAGCTGTAGAATATTTTACTTTTTATTCACTGGTGCTAGCACGAGATGATGTAAAGTATTTAACTTTATTAATTGCTAACACTAGATGGAGTTTTAGAATATTTTACTTCTTATTCACTAGACTTTTTTTCTTTCCTCTTTCCCATTCGCCGAGTAAAATATGTTTCAACGTTAATGAGACTCATAAACCTTTTGTTGGAAACGATTTCCAATAATGATGGATTGAAGCATCAATTACATCAGATGTACAAATTAGCTGTCTTCTTTATCGCGGTTTTTGAAAGATAACAGGGAATAAGTGTACTACTTGATGATGGTTGGAAGGTAACAATAAACAAGTGTTCTAGATGATGGTTGGAAGGTAACAACAAACAAGTGTATTTGATGATGGTTGGAAAATAACAATAAAACAAGTGTTGTAGATGATGGTTGGAAAGTAATAACAAACAAGTGTAAGAACACTTGTTTATTGTTACCTTCCAACCATCATCAATCATCAAGTACATTTGTTTATTGTTACCTTCCAACCATCATCAAATACATTTGTTTATTGTTACCTTCCAACCATCATCAAGTACATTTGTTTATTGTTATCTTACAACCATCATCAAGTACATTTGTTTATTGTTACATTTCAACCATCATCAAGTACATTTGTTTATTGTTACCTTCCAACCATCGTCAGATACATTTGTTTGTTGTTCCCTTCCAACCATCATCTGGGTTGGAAGGTAACAATAAACAAATGTATTTGATGATGGTTGGAAGGTAACAATAAACAAATGTACTTAATCATGGTTGGAAGGTAACAATAAACAAGTGTTTTAGATGATGGTTGGAAGGTAATAACAAACAAGTGTATTTGAGGATGGTTGGAAGGTAACAATATACAAGTGTATTTGATGATGGTTGGAAAATAACAATAAAAAAGTGTTGTAGGTGATGGTTGGAAGGTAACAATAAACAAAAGTACTTAATGATGGTTGGAAGGTAACAATAAACAAGTGTTTTAGATGATGGTTGGAAGGTAATAACAAACAAGTGTATTTGAGGATGGTTGGAAGGTAACAATAAACAAGTGTTATAGATGATGGTTGTAAGGTAACAATAAACAAACGTTCCAACCATTATCAAATACACTTGTTTATTGTTACCTTCCAACCATCCTCAAATACACTTGTTTGTTATTACCTTCCAACCATCATCTAAACCACACTAAGTAGACTAGTGACGTATAGCTTATCATTTACCACACTAAGTAGACTAGTGACGTATAGCTTATCATTTACCACACTAAGTAGATTAGTGTGATCAGGCTAGTAACAAGTCTCCCTTGTTTCGTGTAAAGACTAAGTATGGAAATATTTACAGAGAAGACTGCATTGCTGTTCGTGAGCTGTTTTGCTATAACCAGTGGGCACAGATCGAAGACAACAAAGAAAAGGGAATCTACTTTAAGTCCAGGGGACATTTCCGACTCCCTCATTGTGCGGACCTCCCCAGTTGGACTAATTCGAGTAACTCCTCTTGCTCATATGCTGGACTGACAGAGTTTAAAGAAGAGGAAGTAACAAGTACTACTTTGTAGAATGTGTTTAGTTCTCTACACACTTTTACTGATCTGTTGAACATAGCTAATTAGGATGAGTATATCTGTTTTAAACTCTAGTTTGTGTTGGTTTCTTCATTAAACTTTCTCTTACACGATCTGCTTGGACTTGAGATGTCAATCACCATTTTGAACATAAAATTTACAAACTCAATTAGTAAGAATTTATCTATTTTTTTAACCGTTGTATTCACGATCAAACAAAGGTGAGAATGATCTAGAGACGAAACGTTGTCATATTATCCTTCTTTATAGAATCCACAGGTGCAACTCATTACTAGAACTAATGGAGAGTTAATTATTTTATTACTGAATGGATTTAAGGATGTTTTAGAACTATTGCACTAATAATTATATTATTATCTAATGGATTTGAAGATTTTCTTAGAACTATAATAGTGTTAATTATATTATTATGTAATGTATTAAAGGATGTTTTAGAACTATTGCACTAATAATTATATTATTATCTAATGGATTTGAAGATTTTCTTAGAACTATAGTAGTGTTAATTATATTATTATGTAATGTATTAAAGGATGTTTTTGAACTATTGCAGTGTATACTATATTATTATGTAAGAGATTTGGTTATATTTTAAAACTATTGTAGTGTTAATTATTTAATGAATTTGAGGATGTTTAAGAGGTATTATAACGTTACTTACATAATTGATATAATTATATCAATAAGCTATAGATATGCGTATCACGTTTTGAACTGGAACAATAACACACTTTTACTCCTTTCCTTATGTTTATGTTATACTGCACAAAACAAATGTATTCTGTATATTTGGCATTTATGTAACACTAAGTATGATGTATTACATTTTTTTCAAATTCCAGTCTCTGTAAAAGTAATCAAAAGTGTTAATTTTTAACCTTTAAAAGGCAGTCTCTGGTTTAAATTTAATTTTTTTCTACAAATGAC